ACCTCCCCAAGTCTCAATTATAATAAACAGGGATAATGGTGCTCATACCTCATAGGATTGTTATAAAGATTAAGGCAGATTATCCATGTAAAATACTAAGCACAGAGCCTGTCACATAGTAAGGACTCAGTAAATGCTAGCTATTATTATTTCAAAGTAACCTTTCTTAGAAGGCTGTAGCAATCTTACGATGTAAGGTTTTTGTTTTGTTTTTTTTTTTAAAAAAAAAACGTTTATTTTCAATTCAGTTTTTTGTGCCAGGGGTCCTTAGATTATTGAAGGCCAGAACTAGAAAGTCTCTTGGGAGACCATCTAGTAGTTCAAATCCCTTCTACAGGGTCACTATGAGTCGGAATTGACTCGACTGCAAAGGGTTTTTATAGATGATACCAGAGTCTAATCAGGGTCAGATCCAGGACCAGAATGCACACAGGCTTTATACCTCCTAAGGCAACAGCCCTTCCACTACAACATATTATCCAGCACGATTAGCTTGTACATAGAAGATTCTTAATATATATTTATTAAATCAAATTGACCCTAGGTTTAAGAGACTGTGTTGTTAGCTGCCATCGAGTCAGCCCCCAACTTATGGCAACCCCATGCACGACGGAACAAAATGCTGCCCGGTCCTGCACCATCCCCATGATCAGTTGCTGATTGGACCACTGGGATCCATAGAGTTTTTACTGGTTGACTTTTGGAAGTAGATTGCCAGGCCTTTTTTCCTAGTCCATCCTAGTCTGAAAGCTCCATTGAAACCTGTTCAGCATCACAGCAACACGCACACCTCCACTGACAGACAAGTGGTAGCCGTGCATGAGTAGCACTGGCCAGGAATCAAATCCGGGTTCTCCCTCATGGAAGGTGAGAATTTTGCCACTGAACCACCACTGCTCCTTAAGAAACTGTAGACTTGGCTTAATGCTACCACAAAGTTTCCAGTTCCACTGGAAGTAAAATGTTAACAGCAGGAGGAAAAATTGAAACAGGAAAGTGTTTGGCTAGAAGTATGTCAGAAGGAGAATGGAAACTCTCTCCTCTTTAGGCCAAGATATGCAAGTAGGTCGACCTCCACTAATCAATGTTTCGAGGCCCCTGTTCTAGGTCTTGTCAAAATCATACCAGCTTGGCATTTGCTTTTATGTAATTCTAGCACTAGCTTAAGAAAAGGCATTCAGTTGATCCCAACTCTTTGCCCCTATCTCTACCCCTATTTAGATCAGGTTGGAAAATTATTCTAATAACCACAGCAAAACCTTGGCATTTCCAAATCTTACTAAGATCAGTGTTGGTCATCTTTTCTCAGAGATAACTCTTAAAAGACTTGGTCATTTTTGGTCCTAGCTTTACTTTTCTGTGCTCTAAACAATTAACTTTAACATGTTATTAGGCAACAAAGGTAATCGACCCTAAAGTGTGCACAAGCAGGGAACAGAATAAGGGGATATTACATGGTTCAAAATCAGGAAAGGTGCATCGGGGTTGTATCTTTTCACCATACTTATTCAATCTGTATGCTGAGCAAATAATCCAAGAAGCTGGACTATATGAAAAGGGCTGTGGCATCAGGATTAGAGGATTAACAACCTGTGATATGCACATGACACAACCTTGCTTGCTGAAAGGGAAGAGGACTTGAAGCACTTACTGTTGAAGATCAAAGACTACAGCCTTCAGTATGGATTACACCTCAACATAAAGAAAACAAAAATCCTCACAACTGAACCAATAAGCAACATCATGATAAACGGAGAAAAGACTGAAGTTGTCAAGGATTTTATTTTACTTGGATTCACAATCAATACTCATGGAAGCAGCAGTCAAGAAATCAAACGACGCATTGCATTGGGCAGATCTGTTGCAAAAGACCTTTTTAAAGTGTTAGAAAGCAAAGACGTCACCTTGAGGACTAAGGTGTGCCTGATCCAAGCCATGATTATTTTCAATTGTCTCATATGCATACAAAAGCTGGACGATGAATATGGAAGACTGAAGAAAAATTGATGCCGTTGAATTATGGTGTTGGTGAAGAATACTGAGTATACCATGGACTGCCAGAAGGACGAACAAATCTGTCTTGGAATAAGTACAGCCAAAATGCTCCTTAGAAGTGAGGATGCAGAGACTTTGTCTCACATACTTTGGACGTGTTATCAGGAGGGATCAGTCCCTGGAGGAGCCCATCATGCTTGGTAGAGGGTCATCGAAAAAGAGGAAGACCCTCAATGAGATGGAATGACACAGTGGCTGCAACAATGGGATCAAACATAGCAATGATTGTGAGGACGGCGCAGGACTGGGCAGCGTTTCATTCTGTTGTACACAGGATCACTATGAGTTGGAACCAGCTCAACAGCACCTAACGACATTAGGTAGCAAGGAGAATCCTGTTTCAACTACCCTTCCACCCTCTTGCACACACATTCATTTCAAGGGAAGAATAGAGCATGCCATCACATCACATCACATTCCTTATTTCCTCAGAAATGGTACAAGAGATCCATGAAATCATACTGAGAATAAAATGAGAAAAGTTTAAGACTATACCTAGAAGCTGCCTGCTGCACCAATCTCCTGTCTCCAATAGCATATCACCCACTTTTGTTTGCATTTATGCTTTAACTTACAAGTAATATAAGGAAAGTAAACACATATTTTTAATAAAGAGAAAAAAAAATCACTCGCAATTTCACCACCTCAGCCCAAATATTATTAGCATTCAGAATATCTCCTTTAGTATTTTTCTATGCATATTTGTGTTTTTACAAAACTATAAAATATTAATACACATATAATTTTGGAGCCTACATTTCACTTTATCATGAACACATTTTACATGTGGTTATATAGACTTCATAACAAACATCATAATGGCTGCATAATCGTCCATTAAATAAGTGTATCAAGATTCACTTATCCATTCTCCAATTATTAAGATATTTAAATTGCTTTCAATTTTGTGCTAGTCTAAATAATGTTACAAAAACATCTTAGTGGTTTAGCCTTTTCAATATTTTGGATTTTTTCCTAATGATAGAATCCCAAAAGTGAAATTAATGGGTCAAGGATTATGAATGTTTTTAGACCACCCAACTAAAAAAATAAAACTAGGAAAACACCAAAGCCTCATGAAATCTCTCCCTCATTTAATGAAAAGTTTTCCTACTCCCATTTCTCTACCAGGGCAGAGCAGGGCTCCTGGGAGGAAAAGAAGCCAAGAGAAGCAGCGTAGTATGCCAGTGGCTTGCGAAATGGCAGAGCGGAATGCGGGGTCCCCTGTGAATTCAGCTTGCATGCGCTCACCCCAAATTGCCATCTGGCCAAGAAGCTAATTAGTAAAAGTATCAGGTGGGTGAGAACAGGTTCATGGCTGTAATGGCTTATATCATGTTTCATTTTTGCCCTTGGAAAGATCTGACAGTCAGCTTGAAGACATTCAGTTCTAGTGACCCAACCTGCTACATTCTGAGTGCTAATTAAATTTGCTAGTTTTCAAATACCAGTCTTCAATATATTGTAAAGGGCATTGTGCTGTATAGAACTAAGTATATCTAATCAATGAGTCTGTGTGCATATCTCTATTTTCGGCCATAGTTAAGGTGGCACATTTAATATTATATGACTAAGTGGCACCTGTCTTAAATGGTCAACGGGTTATAGACAGAGGTTTATTTGCAGACCTGACCAAATAAGTCATCCTGTCCTAAGGCAGGGGAAGCAACAGTCCAGAGATGTCTCCCAGCTCATTAAGAGCAGACACCTTCTCCTTGAAGGGTTTTCCTTAATATTTCTTCATTCGCTCAACACCCTGCTCAGTATGGAAAATCAATTCTCCCTTCTCCGTGTTCCTACTAGACCTTGTATACATGCCAATTATAGCACTTATCACCCCATATTTTCCACAGACATTATTGAGCACTTACCCTGAGCCAGACACTGTGCTAGGTAGGCACTGGGGTGGAAAAAAAGACAAATACAAGAGTACAGTCCCCAGGCAAGCAGAGGAGGCAAGTATGTACCTACAATCCAATGGGAAAACAGAGTTACCAGCAGATAGCTCTGGCAATGCAGAGGACTCTGCCAAAAAAAAAAAAAAAAAAAAAAAACCCTCTAGGCCAGCTGAGAAAGCATCCCAAAGAAAAAGACCTGTGAGCTTAGTAGAAGACATGTAATTTGGTGACCAACTTGAAGGGGGGAAAGAGAGGAGTCAATGCTAGATTGAGATATATATTTGGGAATCATTAGCATATGGATGGAATCTCTGTGTGACAAACAGTTATGTGCTCAACTACTAACCAAAACAGTTTGAACTCAACCAGAGATGCCTCTGAAGATAGGGCTGGTGATCCACCTTCAGAAGGTCACAGCCTCAAAACTATGCAGCACAGTTCTACTCTGCAACACATAGGGTCACCACGAGTCGGAATCAACTCGACAGCAACTGGTTTGGTTTAGTTTTGATTTAGCATATGGATGCTAGCAAAGGTCACAGGAGTGGGCTGGATCACACAGAGTAGGAACAGAACAGAACCAAGGTTGAAACTAAGGAGGGACTCCTGAAAACAGTGATCATTCAAGGGTCTGGCACTTGGCAAATGTGGGAGTGAGAGAGAAATTCCTTTATTTACCCCATAGCTTTTCTTCCCACGTATCTTCAATCTAGATCTTGGGCCAAAAATCCCCAACTGAAATTCAAAAAAGAGTTAATTCTTGTCTTCTAAGCTTCTAAGTGCCCAGACAGAAATCAATGTTAATGAGTTGAGCTGGGAACGGAAATCGCTAGACTACGAGCTCTTAAAGGGCAAGGGTTGGGTGCATGATTCTTCATTGTATCCACCCCAACACATAACCATTAACTGGTACACAAAATGTGCTTACTAACTGCATATTAAGTGAATAACTACCTCCCAAAGTCTTTGCACAGAGGTAACAGCAGGAAAAGAATAGGAATGGAAGACGTGGAATCGCAATAACAATAATAATAAGAATATTATTACCTTTAGTTTCTCAGCCTTTCTTCTAAGGAGACAAAAGCTCTTTCACGTCTGTGATCTTATTTGTTCTTCTTAGCAGCTCTGTGAGGAGATAAAGGCAGATGTGATTAGTCCCATTTTACAACCAGAGAAGCTCAAGTCCAGAACAGAATAGCTAACGATAACTAATTTGTTCAAGATTTCACTGTTCAGTGGTAGGGCCAGGATCAGAACCCAGGTCTTACGACTTCCTGCCTTGTGCTTGGTTACTAGACACTACTATCTACAGATCTGACTCCTGAGCTTTTTAGAGGACAGTTCACCAGACAAACTCATTAGGAAAGCAAACTCCCTCTGGCACTCTAATAGTATCTTGAGCAAGTTTAAGTGCTCTGCACCCAGAAAAAAAAATCTAAGACATATCCCCATACTAACACTGGAATGGCTAAATGTAATTCCCAACGGGGTTCCACTAACATAATTTGGAGCTCCCTGTTTTGTTGCACCCCTTTTGAAGAGAGCCCCATCTGCCTTCAGTCTGGTTTCTGTGTCTGAGTGGGGCTCAGGTGCTGACTGCAGGTGTGGGGCATCCAGCAGGTGCATGGACAGGAGCCAGTGTTTCATATCTTCATTCCAAAGGGCCTGAGTCACTCCCCAAAGGCAGAAGGCAGCCCCTCCTCCTCTTGCTGACTTGCAAGCACCAGGAACCTGTCTTGACTGAATTGCCATTGCAAAACTAAACCTACACCCTGCCTTCCCAGGAAGGACTAGGGTGAAATCAGTTAAACCACAAATCATACAACCCAGCCAACATTCCCACTCTCAGAAATTAGTGTGGGTATATGCCACAGACGTAGCATTAGGGAATATATGTACAGCATGACTGTCCTCCACGAGTTCTGGGGACCACAGCAGACTCACATTACAAATTTAGCTACAGAGATTTTACTCTATTGCAAATGGCTCCAAAACCTCAGGAGCAAGTACTCATCCCCCTAAAAAAGACTGAGTACAAGAAAAAGAACGTGCTAGGAATCCTGCACTCCCATTCTCACCATAACCACTCTCCTTCAGGCTGCCAAGGGAGCACCACTTAGCCTCGTCACAAGAAGCACCAGGTCAGAAAATTCCTCACATGCCCCTAACAGAGGCCTAACTGACAGCCTGAGGCAGACAGAATGTTCTTGGAGAGGTGAAGAGGGTCATCAAAATTTTCTTAGCTCCAAAAATTGTTTGCTTAAAAAAAAATTCCCCTCCCCCAGACACACACACACACACACACACACACACACACACACACACTCCAAATAGAAACTAACTGTAAAAAAAAGAAAATGTTACCTTAATAAAAGGGTTTTTTTTTTTTTTGTCATTCGTTGTATTTCTCCAACTCATACAGGAAACTCAAATTAATAACCTTTGGTTTTCAGCCCATGATCCAGAAAGTAAAACTGGCTACTAAACTAAAATGCGATCACTGTATATACAAACTGGGTGAAACAAAAATCTGAACTGAAAACCTAAATGCAATAAAGAGGAAATTAGATTTCTTCAAAATAGGCAATCTAAATAATTTTCCCCATCTGTGATTTTTATCTTACTTTGCTGTCACATGAAAAAAAAAGTCATTAATTCAATGCAAATCCACGTCCCTTGAAAACAACCAAAATGAGTAAGTGATGCATTAATTAGCTTCCTAATGGGGAAGGTTTTAATTGAACTATTCTATAACAACCTTCATCAAAGTTTCCAGGGCAACTTCATAAAAGGATGTCAAACCTGGCCCACATTTTTATCCCCTTAAAAATAATTCTCAATGCACAGAAACTCAGAAAGCTTATTTCTCTTCAATGCTGTTAACACTCAGGCCACTACATTTTCTGATGTCAGCAATCCCCTTCCCACAAATATTCCAAGTATGCACCACCGTCATTCTCCTTTCAATTATGTGGTTTCTCTGCTCCCTTCCTGATTGAGTCCAGGCCTCTCAGATAATGAGAAGCATGTGCAGGGAAAATATGCTCTTAAAAAACACAGACATCAGTTTCATCTGCATTATGAAGAGAGGGGGGCAAAATGTTTATGGCAGATCATTTGTCCATATCAAAAGGATCAAAATGTGAAGTTTGGTATGGGATACATAAGAAAGGAAAAAAAAAAAAAGATTAGCATCAATGCCTAAGATTGGGAGGTGGGGAGGCTATTGTACTCTGAAACAACACCAATAAGAATAAGAGAGACCCCCCAAATCCACCCTTTCTAGCTAGGCCACATTTATATTTAATGTTATCTTAATGTTGCTTTGGGGGGTATTTAAGTTCTGACATACATATGGAAATGAGCCACGAATTGTACAGCAAGCATAAATATTCTATCATTAATAAAAACCAGCTGTGTATAAAGCAGTACAATGGCTAGGTTTCAGTTACTGGCTATCATCAGTATGTGTCACAAGCAAATATTACTGAAAACTTTCTCCCTTAAAACACACACACACACACATAAATACACACAGAAATTGGCTTTTACTCTTTTTAATCTTTTGGAGGAGCTTTGAAGAACTCGCAGATCTCTATGGCACATTCCAACTAGTATCTCTTTTCAAAGCTATTGTATCACCATGGCAGATGGTATAGTCCTTTTATTTCAACCCCAATTTACCACATAGTATGAAAATGTTTAGGTTTTTTTAATCTGAGAGGATCAACAATATGAATGTTGGGACAATCTTAATTATAATCAGTAAGGCAATGGGGCACCAAAGGGCACTGTATGTTAGAAGAGAGCAAAGCTCATTAAAAGTGAACACCTGCTCAGGTCCCTATAATAATCCTACTTTGCCATCATGCAAACACCTTTCATCTGATGACCTCAAACTATGTGCCCAATATGAAGCATGCCTAAACACCTCCATGAAGTATTAATATCCTCACTTCCCAGAAGAGTAACTGAAGCGCAGAGCATCTAATTCATTTACCCCTAGTCACATGGCAAGTCAGAGAAGTGTTGGGCACAGAAACTCATATCCTGGCTACAAGTCCCACAGGCTAATGGTATTTCATGGAGTTGGAGCACTAGTGAAAGTGACTTTACAAATGTCAAGGGAAACCTACAGAGTGCAAAAGTAGATTTTCAAGAACGACTTTAGGAAATATTAGCAAATATATCTGTTCATTTTCCCCATGAACATGTATTACATAAATATGTTCCTGCACTTGGTATTTGGTAAGTACCAAAAAATCCATACTTCACTTTCTATTATGGTTAGAGTAATTTAATCTAATTTCTAATTATGATAAGCCACTAATTTCCAGGAATGAATCCACCAAGAATTGGAGATCACATACACACTTATACCTTAGTTATCAAAGACAATTAAAAGACTGAACTTTTACCACATGGTGAAGGCTTCATATGAAGAACTCATTAAGTTTGGGTCATTCTGCTGCATCTACATGTCTTTTATTTAATTGTTTAAAACCTTTAGTTTCCTTGCTATTTTTTAGTCTAATTTAAAGACATTCATTATTTTTCAAAGCCACAAAACAAACCTGTTTGTGCTTTCCTGCTTCTCCTTCCTCATTCTAGAGATTTCCTGTACTACCCAAGTCTGTCTGTACTCTCTTGATGGGATATGATTATACAGTGATTTAAGAAACATCACCAATGATTTAGACAAAGTAAACAGTAAACCTTAGGCTTTTTTCCTTTTTCTTCTTAAAAAGAATGGGGAGGTAAAACAGGAGGTTAAGGGAGTAGAAATTATAGACTTGCTAGAAACATGAATAACCCCTAAATCACAGAAAGTGTTAGGGATTACTTATTAAATCTGTTTGTCTATCCTGGCACTCAAGGAACAAACATATGTGATTCTTCATGCATACTCAGTCAGGTCCTGACTACTTTTCTCCCCACAGGTTTACAAAGATACGTTTTAAGTGGGCTTTTATTTAAAAGCAGCATTGTATGGGCAGTAATTATGACCATAACTATGTAAAAGTTATGGAAGTATAGGAACAAGGATCTGAAAGGAACTAGGGAAAATGAAAGCAGGCAATCTTTTAGGATGATGGGCTTCTTGACGATGCTTTGGACAGGGTCTTAGTTTTTAAATGTGATATGTTGTTAAAATGTAAAACACAATACATTTATAATGATATATTCTTACAGGCTCTATTATCTTTTAACATCCAGATGACTGCATGAGTGTATTTCTAACAACTGTTATACATTCTAGTAGGAATCATTCACATTTACACCAGACATCAAGGCCTAGGAAGAGAATTGGCTCTCAAAATCACCCTGTCAAACCCCCACAATTTACAGAGAAGGAAACCTGCCAAGGGTGGTAAACTGAGTTAAGAGTTGGGCCCAGAAGTTATGTCCCTCTCACCAGTAGTCTCATTAGGAAAGGTTGTTGTAGATTCTTAGATTTAAAAGAGCATCAGTTGTCATTATTTACTAAAAACAATTTTCTGGGTCCTTGGATTAGTCAAATTCACTGATTGTTGGAAGTAAAATCTTTTACTTATATAAGGTAGATAGTCCTATCCCTAGACTTCTTCAAAATCTGTGTGAAGTCTGATTGATTTCCAGAAATTAATATTAGCCACCTTCTACAAGTGGTTGTAATCTGAGGCTAACATAGCCAGCATTATTACAAGCTAGAATGATTTAGACAATTAATTCCATTCCATATAACAAAAAGATTTCAAAGGCCATATAATGGCCTCACTTAACTCAAGCAATAATCATTACAACAAAATTCCAATGCCTTCCTTTACGCAAGGCCCAGGTTATACTGAATTTTCATATATCAAGTCATAGGTTAAAGGCACCAACTAGGAAAGCTAGTTCTTTCAAAGAAACCTGTTGTGGATTCTTTTATAAAGCAAATGACCTCCTATTTCTTTCTTTTTTTTTAAGTTCAGATTGTGCATGTTGTGTGTGGAGGGGGTGACTTCCCTCCTTTCTCTAGGTCAAAAGGGGTCAGAAGCCCACCACAGAGGAGAGTAATGCAGTATGGCCAGCCTGTTTAATACTCCCTTAGCTCCTGGAACCAAATTTTAACCTTTGACTTGGGGGTGGGATCCTAGATTTTGGACCAAAGTCCACAAAAGGCTCAAGGAACGAAGAAGACTGAAGATAACACATTATTGTAAAACACCAACAAAAATTCCTGAAGACAGGAAATCAATGGAGCGCAATTCTAAACAAATTGGTTTAGTCCCCAGCTAATTAACTTGTCAAGCAGATCTTCAAATCCACTGAATCCATGGGGGAAAGAGGTGATGTAATAGGACATTTGGGAATATTTACCCATTTACCATCCTAAAAGGCTCAGCCATGACCACACGCACCTCTCTCCACCCCCTTTCAGTGGGTTTAAGTTGGGCTTAATGGGTGCAAAGGACAATTTCTTCCAGACAGTCCCTAAGAATGGACTGTTCTCATGCATTCCAAATGCTCAGTCTCCATGGAGGAGACTACCTGGCCGCAAGCATTTCCCAAGAAGGAATATATCCTTTACTCCTCCTCATTGGTACCCACTCCTCAAACAAAAACAAAATAACTTCTAACTATCCTGAGAACTTCAGGGAACTTTTTTTTGGGGGGGGACTTTTAAGAGAGGAGTAGGAGAGTGTGAGAAACTCCTCTTGTCTCCAAATGGGAAAAAAACGCCTTAAAAAGCTGGATCAAAGGAAGTAAGGGGGGTGGGGGAGAAGGGCTGCTTAATTACAAAGACACCCTTTTAAAGAAGGCGCAGGCCCTGGGAGAGAGCTCTTATGAGAGGCACAGAAGCAGATGTACCCACTTAGAATTCTGGCACTCAGTGGAACCTCAAGGTCATAGTATCCATCCCTCTGCCTTCTGATTAGACTGTGTTCAAGGCATTCTAGAAAGACTCTGGTTTGTTCTCTACAGAACTCCAGAAAATGCCAACTCCACAAAACTCCTTGGTTATGCACTAGTCTAATATATTCTACTTCATAAACTAGAAATGAAATTGTTCAAATCAAAAGCAGTATTCAGTATAAATTTTAAAAAATCACCTTTCTGAAGTCTTTTTCATAGGTAAACAGATGCACAACTTTCACGTAAAAGTTACTCTACATGTAAGTGTGGTCAGAGATTTACTTCATATCTAGACTATGGAGTTAGAAAAAGTACTTTCAATTTTATGGAGCCACAAATTTTTCCAAAGAAAGAAGTATCTTAAAATGAAGTATGATGTAGTGCCAGAAAGTGTCTGTAAATGACACCAGATAAACCCATACAGAATAGCTGGAACCTGAGTTATCATCTGTAAATAGATGCAACTACTCTACAACCACCTGGCTATTAAAATGTCCCAGGCCAGTTATAAAATGTAGTTTGGTCAAGCCAGCTCTTCCCTCCTAGCTGATCTGAAATGTGATAGCCTTTAAAATTGTCGCCCTGCAACGTTCCTCTCTCCCTGCTTTCCTTTCCCTCATTAAAATCAACCAAAGAAATTATTCTAAAATATAAGGAAATAATATGTTCCCAAATAAGCAATGAGCTGGGGACATTTCAGTAATAGGTCTTTGAACACCACCATTTTTGTAAGCTTGTCATACTTGCCCAATTGGAGATAAGTGAGAGATGGGTGAATCCCACTTCCAAAATGGTATTTCAAACTATTCTTAGCTACTAAATGAGGGTGCTCAGAGGTCTAACTGAGAAGGCTTCACAAAGGCTGTCCTGAGAAAGAACTTTTCACAAAGCCTAGCTCAAGGAGTCTTAAATACCCTTAGCCCTCCATCATTAAAGATTATGGTGACTAATTATCTTCCTTTCTGAATAGGAGAAGAGGGTTAATTAATAAAAGTTTTTAAACTACTTCCAAACTTCCACGCTTCATGGGAGGGAGGGGAACTAAACTAAAACACCACAAGGTGTCTTTGTAAAATATCTACTAGAGATTGGAAATGCTGTTTCTCACAAACCTTCCCTTCCTTCTCTCATTTAATTGTGTCTAGCTCCTTGTTGCAAAATTATTATATTATTATCAGTGGTAATTTATGGGGGATTGTTCACAGTCTACAAAGACTGTCACTTTCCCTCTCAGTCTTCCTTCTCTTTATTTTCATATATTGATGAAGTCCATCTTGCTGTTGAAGCACCAACGCACAGCGGCCTGGGCTTGGGACCCTCAAGACACCTGCCTGATCCCGCAAAACTAGTTACCAACATCTTTAAACCTTATAAAGCAGATAAGCGGCTACCTCCTCTACCCACCACCAGCCACACACACATACACCAAAAGGAGTGTATCGTGGTAGTTTACTCCCAGGATTTAAGACCTCAAGAATTCACTCCCCTCCCCAGCCGGGCTTCACCACCACCACCACCACCACCCCCTGCCCGGGGAAGGCGAGTGTTAGCCCCCATCCCTACCCTAAGCACTGAAGAGAAACTCATCTAGTCATCTGAGATAAGAGCGGATATTCGTGCTGGGCTAAATGTAGGTCTGTTTCCCTTGAGTCTTTAGTTTCTTGTGTGATTAACTGCCTAGAGACCTACAAGGACCCCAGGAGACAAGGCAGTAAAAGGACCATCAAATAGTGGTACCCACTAGCATCTCCTCGCCGAAGTAGGATGGAAAAGGAGCGCACTCTTTAATCCATTTAACTTGCTGCACATCCCGGAAAACTCATAGCCAGCTGCAAAGAAAGTAAAACGCACGGGCATCCCTACACGCTTCTAGATCGACTCACTCACGCCTAGGGCACGACCAAGTTCATGCCACCATGAATTCCTGCCCCAGTTCCCCGCAAAAAGTAACCACGCGTCTCCTACCCCTGAAGGCAACGAAGACAGGGTGACGGCTCTCTGCTCGCTCAGGTGGCTTCGGTCCCGGGCCAGCGGCCAGGGATGGGCAAGGGGAAGCCCCAATTCGCGGCTGCTCTCCTCCTCACTGCTCCGTCCAGGCTCTCCTTAGTGGCAGTGGACAGGCAGGATACCGGGCCGGAGGGTGGAGCAGCGGATGATCAGAGGCGAGACAGACTCGAGGTGGGAGGGCGGGGGAAGAGAACTAGCAGAAGACGAGGCGAAAGAAAGCGGGGATGGAGGAGTAATTCAAGGGGTCTATCAGCTTGGAAAGCCAGAAAGCTCCTAGGAAGGAAGGGGCGTGACTGCGATGAAGGCAGCTCCTGGGCAAAGGATGGGAGGTAGGGGAGGGGGACGAATGGGTGGCTTTTCTTCTTGCGGTGAGCGGCTAGGACCGCCCAGGAGGGGGGGTTGGCGGGTGGACTAGGGTGGGAGGCGGAGTAGAGGGCGGGGAAAGAAGGGCGGGAGCCTGACTGGACCCTAGAGGGGGGAGGCGCGGAAGAGAGGCGGGGCCAGGGGGCGGGGAAGTTTCAAACAATTGAACGGCGGGGTCCCGGAGCTCCAGCAAAAGTGGGGGCCTTCGCTCCCGCCCTCTTACGAACGTGGCACGACTTGGTTCCGGGAGTACCGAGAGTCTACGCAAGGAGTGGTTGGGAGGAAGGAAAGGGCTTCGCAAAGACTACAATAATAATCTACGGCACCAACGGAGCAGAGTCGCGTGGGAGAGCCAGTGCAGTTCCCCGCCCCACAGCGGGAGGCAGAAAAACAAATAATAGAAATGCTGAAAAGCAGCTTCTATCAAAGTCAGCTTAAAATAATGCAGGAAGGAGCAGCGCTCCTTCGTTTTCCTTCCCCTCTTGCTTCCTATTACCAGCAGGCCTCCACCCAGCTCGCAGTTCTGTGAGACACCCTCCTTTCTTCCTCCGCTCCCCCTAGCCTTCGCCCCCCTCCCACGCGCCTCCGCCCCTTCCCTCTGACAGGCTGCGCGGGAGGCCGGGGAGGGGTGGGCGGGGCTGTGCAGGGCCTCCGCCTCTTGGGCGGGCTGGGAGAGCTGGCCTGGGCGGAGCAGACCCGGAGGAGCAAATCCCACCCACTATTCTTCTGCAGCTTCCTGTTGGCGAGTCCTGCCTTAGGGTTCCTTTCCGATAGGTGACTTGAGCCGTCAATCCGCTCTTTTGCCCCACCCGCCCTCAAAATTGATAAAACCGAACAAGAGGCTATTGTCTAGCTCTCTGTTCTCCCCCAGCTACTGCTGGGAAAAGAAAGATGAGAAGCTTAATTTCTCAGTGTCTTAAAAGAGTGCGACAGTGTGTCTGCCGACTCGGGTACACCTCTATGGAATAGTAACTTTTCTTCCCCTTTACTACACCAGGCAGGGAGGGGTAAAACAGTACGTGAAGTATCAATGTGGTGTTCAATTTCCGGGCTACGAAAAATTGATATTGCTTAAGAACACTGGGATTTGAGAACAGCAGTCTGGGACACTGAAAATTTACTATTTTACAGCTGGGAAAACTAAAGCACAAAGAAACAGCATAAGGGTAGCAGAATAACATGGAATTTGGAACCAATGGAAGAATTCATTTCGGGCTCTGGCACTTATTAGCTAGTTGTTTGCCTTTGTTAAATCGCTTAATTTCCCTATCTGTAAATAAAGGCTATAAGACATGCCCTATTAACTTCATGGCATTGGTAAGGAAATAAAATGTGTGTGAAAACTCTGTAAACCGCAAAGCACTCCACAAATGTATGTGTTCTACTGTGTATGACACGTGGCAGAAAGTCTCATATGAGTTTGGGAATCATATTCATGTAGTCTGTTTTAAGCATTTGCATCCAAGGTGTGTAGGTTCTGTGGCTTTCTTTTAAAAAATCAACTTTTTTCCTACAGTTTTGGAGGTGGATATGAAATTGGCTGCCTGCAGTTAGAATAATAAATTGCCCCTTTTCTAACCAGGGTGGGTGAGATTTCTTTTTTAAATAGTTCTGCAGTGGCGCCACGACCTAAATCTATTATGGTGCTGGTACTCAAAGAGGAAATCATGCTGTGTATCTCCAAAGTGAACTTGAGAAAACAAATATGAGGGAACATTTACCATGGAAACCACCATTCTCTTGTTGTTGTTAGGTGCCATTGAGCCGGTTCTGACTTGTAGTGATCCTGTGTACAACAGAATGAAACACTGCCCAGTCCTGTACCACCCACACAATCATTGCTATGGTTGAGCCCATTGTTGCAGCCCCACTTTGTCAGTCCATCTAGTTGAGGATCTTCCTCTTTTTCATTGACCCTCTACCTTACCAAGCATGATATCCCTCTCCAGGGACTGGTCCCTTCTGATAACATGTCCAAAGTAGGTAAGCGAAGTCTCACCATCCTTGCTTCTAAGAAGCATTCTGGCTATACTTCTTCTAAGACAGATTTGTTCATTCTTCCATCAGTCCATGGTATATTCAATATTCTTCACTGACACCATAATTCACAGGCATCAATTCTTCTTCAGTCTTCCTTATTCATTGTCCAGCTTCCACATGCATATGAGGTGATTGAAAATACCACGGCTTAGGTCAGGAGCACCTTAGCCCTCAAAACTATATCTTTGCTTTTTAACACTTTAAAGAGGGCAGAGGGGAACAGAAAAGGCTGAAAGAAGTAAGAGTATAGGATTGGTTGAGTGTCCCTCATCACTGAAGTTGTGGGATGGGTACATGGGGTCATTAAATGATTCTCTTACTTCTGTTGCATACATTTTAAAATTTCTACACTAAGTTTAAAAAAAATCCTGTATTTCTATTGCCTCTCTAAACCAGGCAAAAAGCGTGAGTGCTATTCTACTAAGATAAATGAAAACCAAATTACAAACACTTTAAAACAAAATTTTAACATTTTTAACACTTTAAAAGAGGTCTTTTGCAGCAGATTTCCCCAGTGAAATACATCTTTTGATTTCTTGACTGCTGCTTCCATGGGTATTGATTGTAGATACAAGTAAAATGAAATCCTTGACAACGTCAATCTTTTCTCCGTTTATCAAGATGTTGCTTATTGGTCCAGTTGTGAGGATTTTTGTTTTCTTTACGTTGAGGTGTAATCCATACTGAAGGCTAGTCTTTGATCTTCATCAGTAAGTGCTTCAAGTCCTCTTCACTTTCAGCAAGCAAGGTTGTATCATCTGCATATCACAGGTTGTTAATGAGTCTTCCTCCAATCCTGATGCCCTGTTCTTCTTCCTCATTAACAACCAAAAAATGTTCTGTTATCAAATGAGTTTGGAAAATGGTGGGCTAAACCAAGGTAACCCCCCTGTTACCGTTTGGCCTAAACGGTATGCCAGCCCCTTTTTATACCTCTGGACCTCAGAAGTAACGCATTATTCCAATTCTAATGCATTTAACCCAGTAGAATACAGTGGAAATCATTCTTTATAATTTTAAAAAATAATTTATTTTATTTTTTTCACTGTTGAAAATATACACAGCAAAATGTATACCAATTCAGCAATTTCAGCCTGTACAATTCAGTGACATTGATAACATTCTTCAAGTTGTGCAACCATTTTCACCCTCCTATTCGGGATTTTTTCCTCCTCCATTAATATAAACTGACTGCCCCCTAAGCTTCCTATCTAACCTTTGGAGTTACTGTTGTCAATTTGATCCCATAAAGATAGTTCTTTAAAAGAGCACAATGCTCAAGACAGACATTCTTTACTAATAATTAAGCTAACCTATTGTTTGGTTTGAAGAAGACTTCAGGGGATTTTTTTCGGTTTAATGTTTAAGGTTTCAAGATTTTCTTAGGACCATAGTTTGGGGGTTCATCCTGCTTCAATGAGGCAATTTAGACATTTCCCATCTTTTGCCATTATAGATGATGCTGGGAAGAAAAAAATTCTGGTAGCAAAGGTCTGGCAGTTGTTTGCAGCATGCCTGCCCCCAGCCTTGAAGTTGGCTCTCAAAAGACTTTTTTCAACCAGTCTTCCCCACAGCTACCAGGGCCTTCGTACGCTGGAAACTCCTAAAACATTGAACTCTTTTAACACTCCCTCCTCAAATCCTGCTATGGGCATTACTGTTCACCTCCTAATTTGAATTGTCATGGAGCAAAGTTAGCAGAGCTCTGAAACTTAAAGGCGAATGAGGCCATGTGTGAGTCACTTCTTAGCCTGTGGCAAACAACAGATTTTTGGTACCTCTGTTTTACTCAGGTCATTCAAGCGTCTTAGGTGTTCCTTTTCTCCTGCCATGCAAGACTTCCTCTTTGTTTTTATCCTGAAAACCCTTCAGTTTGTTTAAACTGAGTTTGAGTTTAAAGCTATGCATTGCCTGCCGCACTTTAAAGGGGGGGGGGCGGTTTGGAGGCCAACATCAACAAACATTGATTGAGCTGCTATTATGGACAAGGCTGGAAAAACAAAGAGGTATGAAACTTGGCTCCTTCCTTCAAGGATATAGACATAAAAAGATAACTAAAGCATATGCTAAAGGGCTAAATGAATGGTATTGACAGTAAAAGCTGTGCAAGTTGAGAGCAGGGAGAGAAAACTAGTTCCAGAGAGGGAGTTTATACAGCAAACTATGCCACACACATTTAACTAATCCCCACAGCATCTCTGTGTCTTCATAGCCAGAGTAAAATATGAAGAACTCTCTGGGGGATACCAGGAGAATTAACCCTTAGCTTTAAAACACTTGTGTAAAGACACTGAGTTGCCTAAGTCCTACACAATAAAAAGCCCCATATATCGATATGCAAAAAAGGAGGATCATTTTAAGCTTGAAAGTGAAGAGTCTCCATCCTGAACTAACTGTCCTGTTTGGTGGTTTGTTTGTTTGTTTGTTTGTTTTCCGTAAAGTGCAACTCCCCCTTTAACATGCAATAAAGATCAGTCTCTGCCCTTTGCACCCAATATTTAGTCTATTCCCCAATCCCTAGCTAGGTTCTTCTTGAAGAAAAGACCGTGAAATCATAATGCTTAGTACCGAATGATACTCTTCCCCCACCCACCATGTCAACTGGGAGTGTTAAATGTACACATCTTCCTCTAATTGCCTGGTGAACAACTAAATCATGTAGATGATTTACAAACAAAAGCAGAGTCAAGCACATGC